AAGACGCGGACGCCGTCACACCCGCTGGCCTGGAGGAGGAGGAGGAGGAGGAGGAGGAGGAGGAGGAGGAGGAGGACCAATACAAGCCCAAGACGCATCAACGATGTTGCAAGCAACCTTCCTTTCAAGTTCGGGGAGTGGCCCATCTGAGAATCCTCAGGTGTGTCAAAACACTATTCCTGGGACTTCGACGCCGCGGATCAGCGTGGCTGTTGCGTCCATTATCTCAAACTGTGCCAGAACAGTATTCCTGTGATTTCAACTATATCAGTCCTTGACATTGCTGCCAACTGTTAAGTCAAAAATGTGCGACGGTAAGGCGAGAGCCACAACTTGAAGCTGCATATTGTTAAGACAGATGCGCCCGGTGCTAGGGCGAGAACCACATGTTGAAAACGGTCCAGCTTCCAGTCGCGAAATTATTGCAGTCCTTGAAAGACGAATGCGCGCGGCGGCAAGGCGAAAGCCCACATGAAATCGATCCGCCCTCCATCCGCGAAACTGCTGCACACTTTAAGACCTATGCGCGCTGCGCTAAGGCGAGCCACTGTTTGAAAACAACCTTCACTCATGAAACTGCTGCGATAGTTTAACACGAATGCGCGTGGCGCTAAGGTGATGGCCAAATGTTGAAAAACGACCCACCCTCCATCCGCGAAGCTGCTGCAAACTTTTAAGACAAATACGCGCGGCGGTACGCCGAGAGCCACACGTTGAAAGCGACCCGCCCTCCATCCGGGAAGCTGCTGCACACTTTGAAGACTAATGTGCGCGGCGCTGGTATGAGAGCTACATTTTAAAAAGGCACCGGCCTCCACCAGTGAACCTGTTAAAGCATTCAAGCTTCAGGATAATGAATGGTGAGGAGTTCTCATGCGAAACGCCCGACCCGCCTTTCCGACACGTCTGGCGGTGCGCTTTTGAGGTTGAATTTAGAAGTAAAGGGAAGGAGGAGGGAGGGGAGGGGGAGGGGGTGGGGGGAAGGGGAGGAGGAGGGATCGTCGGAGGGGTAGAAACAGGCGGAGGAGGAGGAAGAAGAACAGGGGGAAGGTAAGACGTAAGAGGAGGATGAGAAGGAGGAGGAGGATAAGAAGAAGGGGGAACAGAGGGAAATGGGTAGGTGAAATGGGAGGGGGAGGAGGAGAGGGAGGAGGAGGAGAAGGAGGAGGCCCAGAGTAACGAAAGATGCGCCAAATATGCTGCAATCCATGGTCAGCCCCGAGTCGCTTGGACAGAAGTCCCTACCAGCATCCCGTTCCACTCAGTGGGTTATCTTGCATTGCAAATGAAGATCCTAGACAGATCTGAAAGAAGTGCGTCCAGCGAGAACCCCTGCTTGAGAGAAAACAAGAGCACCACTATCCGCGCAACAGTTGTACACATGCGAAGTTCCTTCCGTAAGCAAATTTGAAGTCCCAAGTGAGGGGCCAATTTTAGAGTGGAGCCGCCCCCCACACGCGTCAATGCTGATAAAGCTGCAAGTTCGGGATTGAAAGTTCTAGGATGTCTAAGGCGGGAAACCCACACTGAAAACGAACCTACCCATCCGTGTAGCGAATGCAGCTTGTCAACACGAATGTGCGCGGCGCTCTGGTGAGAGTCCCATTTTGAAAGTGGCCCGCCCTCCATCCGCGTAACTGTCATAGGGTTTGAACCTCGGGCCTCAAATTTCCAGGAAGCGTCGGGCGGGAACCCCATTCTGACAACGAGCTTGGTAATTGCTGCAGAGCTGTTGAGACGGACGCGAGCGGCGCCAAGGCGAGGGCCCCGGTTAGAAAACAACCCGCGCCCCCCCCGTCCATGCAATTATTGGGCGTACTCCCGAAGCAGCTTGACCGTACAGCCTATATAATCCTGTGTGGGGTCTCCCGTATGGTCTCCCGTATGGTTTCCGGCATGGCCTCCCGCATGGTCTCCCGTGTGGGTTCCCGTATGCGCCTCCCGCATGATCTCCCGCATGGTCTCCCGCATCGTCTCCCGTATGGTCTCCCGTATGGTCTCCCGTTTGGTTTCCTGTATGGTCTCTCGTGTGTGTCTCCCGTACTTTGTCTCCTTTTGGGTCTCCCGTGTTGTCCTCTATTGTTTCTCCCGTCTGGTCTCCCGCATGTTTCTCGCGTAGTCTTTCATACGATGTCCCGCATGGTCTCCATGGTATCCGGACTGGTCTCCCGTACTGTTTTCCGTTTGGTCTCCCGCGGGGATTCCCGTATGTGGTTCCCGCATGGTTTTTTTTGCATGGTCCCCCACGCATGTGGTAACCAATATGGTTTGCGTCACACGTCATGTGGTATTTGGCTGTGTGCATATTGAGGTCGCATGCCGTGGCGCAGATGGTCCCGCCTTCGTAGCAGAGGTAACCGAAGTCTTTCTCCTCAACATGCTAACCCTCGCTTCGTACGGTGCTCGTTCTGCCCGCCTGTCTTTTTCGAGCGAGGTTGCGTGTCCAAGCATTCCGAAGCAGTGTGGCACGGCCTCTCGTTCGCGGCGGCCGAGGGGCGGGGCAAGTATGAACTCTATCATGTCGAGTCACGTCTCATGCTCCTTCGCTTTGCTCGTCAGCTATATTGGTGACGTCGAATTCCTCTGCAGTGGCATGCTGCGGCTCCATCCCTGCAGCCTTCATTTCCTTTCACCATGCAGTCAGGATTGATTGGTCGCCGTGCCAGCAGCTGTGCCTGCCCTGGGAGCGCTTGCACCAGCTCTACCATTTGTATGGTTGTTCTCTGCGCAGCTGCAACCAGACACCCAGTCCTGTTTGAGTTGGGCATATCGAAGGTGACGTAGTTGCGAAGACCTCTGCCATCAAGCTTGATCTGGCCAGCCCAATTCTCGTCTTGGTCTGCTGTGAGGTCCAGGCGCCTCAGGAGTTGCGGGCAGGTTTCTTCAAGAACCTTGGGTCGTAGCTTCAACCTGAGGTAGGGTAGTAGTGCCTGGAAGTCGTCGATGCCCACCTCAGCCTGAACTTGGCCGTTGGTGAAGCATTTCTTTTAGTAGTTCTTCATGGGCATCGCGAGCCTGAACGTGTCTATGTATGCTCCGTCCATTTCCGCGAGCTGATATGACTTGAGCTTCGGCCAGCTGCTGGCGCCGTATACCAGTGTGGAGTTGGCGTAGTCGTTACCGTACTTCCGCTTCGCTGTCGCCGACAGCCCTTTGCAGTTGAATACCATGTTACGAAGCGTTCCCTGAGCTCGGCTCTGTTTGCCCCTTCTTTTCCTGATTTCGCCCCACATGTTCTGACCGTGTGTCTGTATGGCACCGAAGTGACAGTACCTTTTGGTGATGTGGACCAGAACCTCGATGCTGGGGACGTAGGTCGTGGGTTGCCCGGTCGTGAACAGCTGTGCGCGCACTTTTCTAGGATGGTCGTCCCTTACCGAGCATGGGATTTCCGTTTTGCTCTTTTTGTAGTTGATGGACAACCCGAAGGGGTGAAATGTATCGTGGATTATTTGGGCAAACGTGTGAATGTTCTGCGGTAGGTCGAGGCAGCTGTCGACGACCGTCAGATTCCAGGAGTCGTTCGCAAATGGATGGTCGCTCACTTGTTGCTCATCCGCCCCACTTCGGATTCGACAACAGCGTTGAGTTTCTGGCAAGTTGGTAAGCACGTCTTCCTGTTCGAGGTTCGCAGCGAATTTGGCCGTTCCATGGAGCAACGCGCATTGAAGAACAGGTCCGCCGTGTTCTCGCCTGGTCCTGTGCCTGGCAGTCTCGTCGCTTTCGGGCAGCTGAAACCATAATGCACGCCATGATTATCCGAGGATTGTGCTGGGGTGCTCCCCGCGCATCGCGGGGTTGAGTATGCCAGGCTGGGCCGTCAGTTCCCCCATGATACAGTGAAATTGCTTGGGGCACCCCCATGGTGGGTACCGTTTCCTGCGCCTCCTCCTGGGAGTTCGGGAGGTCGAACAGGAACTGGTGCAGCACGTCGAGAACGCTGATGTCACATCCAGGAAGTACACGGCTGCGCTCGCACCCTGCTTTTTGCACCAATGCATGAAGTTGCGTAAATTGAGTGATGCCAGCGCGTAGCCTTTGCGCGGGACGCCGCCAACCTGGGTGTCCTTCATGATGGCAGGGGGCGAAAGGCAGTATCTGACTGCAGAGCCATGTGTGGTGTACCTTAATGACGAGCGAGCGCAGGCAGATGCTGCGGAAGTATTGGCTGCGGAAGGGATCGCCTGATCCCTTGAACGACGGGGCGGTTGTTGAGCCTTTGGCTACGAGCGATCCCCTTGCCGAGAAGTGCGTGCGTAAGAGTAAGATCAAAGAGTAGCTTATGTGGGCCACTCGCTGCTGCGTCGGCGAGTTCCCCGGCGATTTGGCCCATGTCAGGCGCCTTCCGCCCTCTGAACTTGCGAGAGATGGTAATGACCTCGCCCATCGATGAGATATACTCATGTTGCCGTAGCCTTCTCCCGTGAAAATTGCCGTGATGTTGTTGTAAAATTTGGCGATCTCGTGTTAGCCGCCGCCAATTCCTCTCTTGCGAAGTGCTGTAGCGTTTGCCCCATCGATAGCTGAAGTATCCTTCATAAGGCCTCCGTCTCCGTCCCTTCTGGCCAGGAAGGCTCCGCTGGTGCCCGGTATCGATCGTCTTCCACCAAGCGCTTGGAGCGCTTTAATCTGTTGCCGTTCATCATTGAGCCGGTAGTTCTCGATGTCATTTGTGATGTTCTCGGCTTTGGTTTCAAGAAACTTTCTGCGGTTTGCTTGCACCGATTTGCGCATGGCTCGCCTGCCTTGTTTTGACGAAGCGTGCAAGTTGTGGTATCCACTCGTTGTGGTCTAGGCAACCAGCTGCGTAACTTTCCGACGCGAGCTTGTGCAGCCAAACGTGGTCGTTGGCGAAGCCCTCGCGCCCAAGTTGGCCAAACTGAGGTTGGCCACCACTGCTGCGGAGAATAGTTCCTGTTCAGCCCTATCCTCTTGTCAGCGATCACTCGTCAGGTTTTTTTCTGCGCCGCCTGTGCCGAAAGTGCGGTCTGAAATGTCAT